CATGATATCTTCTTCATCTTTCCCCATTGTTATCTTATTGCCTACTTAGTTTTATTTGCACTTATTATTTACTTTCTCATCTTCCTCATGGCATATGAATTCCACTCGGAAGAACGATTCGTCTTTGAAGAATACCCGTGGAAGCACTCTTCGTTTGTATTCTCATAATACTGCAGTCGCTTCTCGGAAGAACTAAAACAAGCTGCAATTACGAAAAGCAATGGTTTGTTAACACGGCGGCTAACGTAGCGCATTCCTCTTTAGGCCTCCTTTCTTGTTTAGACGGATTTTGCGCAATTTTCACCGTTTGATGACCTTCAGTGAAGTTTTTTTTTTTTTAATTAATTAGAACAATTATTTCTAAGGACTCCGATACACGAAATGTAATATATAATCTTTTTTATATAAATGTATCAAAAATATAAATTCATCTCCCCTTGTACGTCTCCTGAATAGTTTTATACAATTTTTATATGAATTTTTTTATGATGAATTTATATTTTTGATACATTTATATAAAAAAGATTATACATTACATTTCAACCAAACCATTTCTGTGAATATATATGGAAAGAGAATATTCTTTTTTTTTTTGAAAATAGGATAAAATCGTTATTATTTTCGCAGGAAAATTCTTTCGCCTTGAAGTGGTAATTTGAATACCATGTACGGTATTAATTAAGTCTGAGGAATTTTCAATGGTCTTAACATTCCCCAGGTGAAATTTATGCCATCGGATTATCAACAGCGTACATGTCATTTAAAAAAATTAGAAGACCGTTTATAGAAAATTATTTGCAAAATGTAATAGAAACTTATTTACGGAAAATGTCAACACCTCTCTCCATTGGATCAATTTCTTCCTCTCAATGACACGATTCAACTCCCTTTAGGCAAATCCTCTGCTTATAAACCTCCTCTGCATCGCCTGATTACAAATGCATTTGGAAACAATTAGCCGCCTTCGCAATTTCTTACTTGTTTTCATCGCTTTTCCAGCATCTTAAAAAATTTCGTTTCAGGTCAATTTTGATGCTCCAATTTTTATCTTATAAAATGCGGGATTTTCGTAGCAACTTATAAGTTGCTTTCTGTATTAATATTCCCGATTTTGAGAGCCTCTGCGTGGATTTAGTTAAATAGGATCCGAATCTAATGCTGATCGAAATTATATACCTATTTCTCAAAGTCTACGGAGCATAGATGATGCTTTCACTTTTAAATTCGCAGCATTTTATTAATCTGCTAATAATTTATGACGAAATAAATTTTCCCTTTTGTATAAAAATTTAAAATACAATAATCAGATATTAATATTATAATTTTTTAAGTAGCACAAATTTTAACTATGCATCAGTGACTGCACTTCCGCCATGATTGTTTATTGTTACTACTACTCACTTAATTTAATAAGGGTCATAGATGTTCTCTGGTGATTGTGTTAGGAATTTTCCTCTAATACATAATACATGCAATCGCTATCTTATTAAAACAATATATTTGATCTAGTGGTGCTTTCACCTGCTACACAGGAGAATATGTAGCTTTTATCATCCCGCGTGTGACATACAGAAAAGCTGTGATCTATAATCTACAAATTTATAGAGAAGCGGTGTTTCTCTAACGTCTCGAAGTTGCAACAAAAAATTCACAAAAATTGAAAACAAAACCATAAAATAGAATACTCTAAGGAGTTTCTTATAGATAAGTTACATAGAATCAGATTTCAACCAGAGACTTCTTTAAAAATGATCAATTTCATAGAACAAGTCCCGCACATAAAAAAAACTATAGAAACAAGTTGATTGGTTCTGCGTATACTGCAGGTGAAGAGAAAGTATTTTGGAAAAATAGAATCCAAGTTATTTTCTTACAGAAAAGCCAAAAAGAAACCACATCGTAGCTGTAAGTAGATGCGCCTTGAACGTCTCTGTCTTTTAATTCCATTGTAAAACAACAGCCTTATCATCGTTTTCGTGCTAAGCGCCTTTCCCTGTTCCTTACGTTGCTTAATTAAAAAATTTAATAATATTAAGATAATAACCTCTGCTGTTTAGATAAATACGCTTGAACGTGATAAAACAAGTTATCCGGTGAAATTAAATATTTCTACAATAAAAAAAAAAACAAGAGTTGTTTTGAAACTTTTTTTTTTTAATAAAATAAATTAACGACTAATTAACTTTTACTGTTACAAAAAAACAAATAAAAATACGAAACTAATTAAGCACAGGCACAAGCAACTTAGCAAGAGTCATCCGTGCAAACATATGCGACCTATAATAGAATTCATTTCACTTCAATTGATTTCTTATCTCTTGCACGTGTTTTTCATACGAGTATTTGTGTGGGTGTGTATGCGCTGCAGTGTATTTGTTCGTGTTTGCGTTTCTTTTCTTTTTTATATAAGGGAAAAATATTAATTTTCAATTAATCGTAAATAATAGAATGAAATAACGGACGCTTTTATAAAAACGGCTTACTTCGATGTAGCGGTTGTAATCAATCTTCGCTTTATTGGAATTCTTTGCAAGCTAAAAATTTCAATTAACAACAAATAAGTCGGTGTTCGTGTATATTTACAATTAGAAAGCTTTTAGTGTAAAAATTGTAATTAGTTTTTTGGCAATGCCTCACCTTTTCAAATTTTGTTACTCTTTCTTCTTCCTTTTTCTACTTAGCTGCTTATAATAAATTATATAAATGCAAATACTATTTACATAGAATTATTTTAAAACTATATAAAGAATGATTTATAAACATACACATTTTTAATAACAAAATAGAGCTTTGGAGTGAAAGGCGCAAAAATCATTGTTTACGTAAAAGCAAGAGAAAAACGCTTTCATCCTCTTAAACTCAACCCGTTTGTCAGCAACGTAAAGAGTAAGTAGTCTTCTCAACAAAAGTTCCGCTTTGGACAGTTTTACAGAATATTCAACGAAAGAACGAAATTGAAGGTGGACATTGTTATTGCTACAAGCTGTATAAATGTAACCAGTGCATGTATTTCGAACACCTGAAGTCTCTACAATTTCTTGACAGATTTTATATATCAAACTTTTTAGGATTTTCTCTTAATAAATAGGTTCCAAACAGCATAGCTAGGTTAATAAGTAAACGCGACTATCAATTCAGGTTTACATGGGTTTAATTTCCAGTATAATAGACCATAGTTTTTCATTAGAACTAACTAATTCATTAACTAACCCCTGTGGTCAAAGAAATAAGAATTACATGTTTGGTCGGTAAAGACGTAACAGGTATCGATCAGCTATATCCCCCATTCTGTCTTTCTTTCTTCACTTCTTTCTCCCTTCGTCGTGGTTATAACGCATCACTCAATCAACTCGTAGTATGACATGTAGATGCCGTTACTATTGACGAACCCTTGTGCCATCAAAAAACTCTAACTTGCAAACTAATAGTTGGAATATGAAATAATTCGCTTTGTACGGAGCGGCTGAGTCCACACATACTTGCTTTCCCGTTTTTTATTCTTTCCTACTCAAAGGCGGTAAACGAGAAGCTACTTAGGAAAGAATGTATAGAAAACGTAAGAAACATGTCGAGGATTAAGTTTCGCCAACATAAGATCGCTTTTAACAAAAAGCTCGATTCGTCCTTTTGTATCTTGAAGTGGATTTTACTTTCATCGTAGCGTGCGTGCTCAAGTTGTAACACTTATCGATTGGACACACTTTCACTAAGACACCCTATCTCTTTCTTTATCTAATTTCTTTCTGACCATCGCCTTATTACGCGAATTGTTATCATACCCTGAGTAATTGGTCCACATTAAAAAATAAAAAAAAATGAAGTACGCCTCGTCATCTTTCGTGTGTTACCATAGGGAAATTTATACTGATGATTTTCGCTTATGTAGTTAAATTGAATTGTGACCGTAAACTGAAGCAATGCGGAAGGAAGAAACTTTTGGAAAGTTTCTAAACATTGGGATTCCAAGAGACAGACTAAAAGAGTAAACTGAGTCTATTCGTATATTTATAAATACCTCTGTAACTGATTGCCACCAATGCCTGTTTCTGGGTAAACTGATCGAAAATTTATATATGGCTTAAGGGCGATTTTTTTTTTTAAAGTTGCATTAATTTTCGTATTTGAGATATAAAAAATTATTCGGTGAATTATATCTATTTAAAAGTTTTGTGTATTGTAAACAATTCAAACGGAATGGGCGGCTATTGATATTTAGTATTTCAAAAACGGATAATCTAAGAAACAAAGACATATTGCTAAGTTGATTTATAGTCTCTACTGGGTGGTAAAAAATTTGTAAACTGGGCTCATGCTGGAATCAGAAACGACCATAAAAAAGTCGTCGACAGTCATCGAAATAGTTTTCTTTTCTGTTTTGTAGTCATACTATCATGGAAGTCTTTCGAACTGAGATATGGTACTTGCACAAAAAGAGCAATGCATTTACTTTTACGTTGATATTTTCTTCTCTGACCTTGAAAAGTTGTGATTGAGTCACGCAACCCTCTCAAAACGCTGCACCATTATCCGCAGCTAGTCTCCAAGGTAAAGAGTCTCTAATCGACAGATTAATGCAGATAAGGAAAGTCGGAAAATAAGATTCATTAATCGGGATAAGGTTTGTATTCGAAGAATGAGATATTCGATTTTGATTGAGAAGCGTGAATATGATTTATGTACTCGTTCTGGATATTTACATTAGGTCATTGAACAAATAGAATTAACCCTGTGGTATCGTATGGTGCTAGGCTTAGTAAGGGAGATGATAAACACAGCTTTAGCAACTACAGCTATACGAAACGAAAATGTATATATTTACCTGTCCAACTTTAAATCTCTGTCTGACCTAGTTTAACTTTTTGATTATTTGATAACAGTTCTATACAAGATCTCTAACCTTTCGCTAACGTTTATCAAACATGGCATGAGAGAGGCTATTATGCACTACTTAAGAATGTTTTTTACTCTAGATAGAGAGGGGCCAATGTAATAAAACCTACCGTTGTGTTGATGCTTTTTTGAAGTTTTTTTTAGGTTTTTTTTATTTTGTATCAATAACTGAACAGTTTGTAAACAAAACCGGCTTTCGCAGAAAAAGAATAATTTGTACACTTTTTTTTATTATAAAAAATATATATATATATATATATATTGCAATGGAATCTGACTTTTGCTCACTTTTCTCTTTTAATTAATCATTTAAATTTACGACGTTGCAAAGTTTTACTTCTGCTTTATTCTTTTGCTAATTACTTCTTTTTGCTTTTTGTTTTCTGATTTACGTCTTACACGATTTTACTTTACCTCGCGTAAATGATTCTGATAGGAAGAACAACCCAATCTGTAAATTACTTGTAGGGTTCTTTTATATTTATTTATTTATTTAATAATTATATACTCATGCGTTTTTCCTTTAACTTCGATGTTTTAAACAGATTATCGCTCAAATGTTTTATATAAATATTTTCGTTATTCACATATATTAATGTTCGATTCCAAGTTTTGATAATAGAAAAACTTGAAAATATAAAAATTACTTAAAGATCTTGTTTTCTTTAACTTTTTTTTTATATGTATATATATATATATCTATATATATATATTTATTAACAGAAATTCAAGCAAAAAATATTTTATATTTATTTTTTGCTTGAATTTCTCTTCTTATTGAACAACGAAATGATAAATTTATAAACGAAACCATTCGCGACAAATTCTGTGAGAAAACTGATCGTTACTGTTTAAGTTTATAGTACTTTGCGCTATACTCTTTGAATATATAACACTGTATGTATGTTGGACAGTGTACAATGTAAAAACAAAATGAATACACATACACACTCACACATGAGAACAAGGAGCAAAACAAAAACCTGGAGAATAGTGAAAACACATAGAAAACATTTTTTTTTTGGCATCGCACGCACTTGAAAGAGAATGGATTGACCATATGAAACACATATGTTTTGTGAAAATCTTTATTATAACATATCTCTCTTTGCCTCTCTCGGTATTATTATATTAATTAGGCGAGAATAGTGGATTTGGACCAACTTTATTTTACTTAACAAATACTTATTTCGCTCTCGCTCTCCAACTTTCTCATTCTCACGCGCTCTTGCTCACTTCTTCGCTCCTCTGTTCATAGCTTTAACTTAACCGCAATTCTATTTTTTATTTATAGAGATTTATCGTCGTTGTTGTTGTTTTCAATGTTTTTAAAACTTCTTTATGCCGGTTTACACATAACATATGTTGAAAATTTATTGTTTTTGGTGTTTTCGTATCTTATTGTACTGCACAATACCTTATTCATAATTTTTTGTATAAGTGATTAACATCTCATGGTTAATGATTCTTAGTTTACAGTACACTGAATATATATATTTTTATTTGCTTACATTCATGTTGTGTAAACATTTGAAGGTTTTTAAAATGTAGTCTTTAAATAAGTGATTTCACTGATAGTTCAATAAACTTAAAATCTATTTAAAAATGATATTTACTTCTGATATTGCAGCAGCCATAGTGACTGACGAGAAAGTTCAAAAGCTCCGCTATTGTATTCATTGTCAGAAAAAGTGTTTGGTAACTTACCTAATAGATAAGTTAAGTAAAGAATTTTGCATATATTACAAGAGCTATTAGTTTTAGTGTTATAGTAAATAATTAATGTTTGCAATATTTCGATTTGTTTTTTTAATATCGGCTAATCACTCCTTCAATAAGGTGGCGGTCGCCAAGAAGCGAGGAAAGAGAAAAAGATATGGAAGCGGCCGTAGCCTGATGTGTGCCTGATAGGTAAATATTATGCATTTACAGAGATTTTAAATTGTGAACACGGACTCGGTAGTCGCGATTCTTTCAGGAGCTTTTGTCCCACTTGTTATAAACCATAAATCAAGTTGAATGACACGGCGAAAATCTACCATTTAGCCCAGAATAAATGTGTAATACTCAACACTCAACTTCCGATCGGGTTAGAGTTCTAACAATAAATGAACGCGCTAAGGAATAAGTCAAGGTTAAATTACTTATACTGATTGAGTTTATTTAATTTTTAAATATACCACTGACTATATTAATATACCACATGTAGCATCCATGCTTAAGTGATTGTTAAAAAAAGATTCCTTTTCGAAATGAAAAACTTAGACGTTGGAATCGAAAAGAATTGGATGCCGGCCAATTATATATAGACACAAGCGTACACGTGCACTAGGTGAGAAATGATGTAAGCCCACTTGGAAATCTTCAGTGGGAATATTGTGAGAATTCTCTTTAAAATGTAATATATGATCACAAAAGCAGAGAATTAGGGGAAGCAGGTTTTTTACCCAACCAAACATTCCAACCATCTGAGAATAAGCGTATATGTTTGTTTACACTTCTCAATACTTGAACATGTATTTGTATAATCTATGGGCACTTTAGAGAATAAGCATATAAGCGCAGGTAGATGGTAAGGCAACCGAATTGGTTCTCTTGGGAACATATAATAAATATCTCATAGATTCCCTTCTCCAAAAGTCTTGAATATTTTCTTTAGAAAAAGGCTATATCTGCGTTAATACATGTATTCATGTAAAAATGTAGAAAAAAAGGCAAAGTAAAAAACAATTCCTTTTGCAATCTTACCCAGTTCGAAAGAAATGCAAGTTTCAATGTCAATTTACTTTGCACTGAATTTATGCAAGTCGATCGTTTCAATAGTGTATGCATTTTCTTTATCATTTGTCAAGTTTTTTATTATTTTAATATACTATTTTTGGAGGTAAATCATTTCCTGACTACATCTATCTATGCGGTCGCGCTCTTAAAATTAAGGAAGTCAAAATTAGATTAATTATACTTCCTAGAAATCAATTATTATTTACTTTGCATGCGTAGCGGAAGGGTGTCAAATATTTTTACTAAACGCATTCTGCTCACTTTGGTTCTCTCTTTGTCTCTCTTTCTTTCTCTCTCTCTCTCTGTGAGTCTTTTTTTTCCCATTTCTATATTGCCTACAAACAAAACTAGGCACTCTTAATAATAACAGAGTAGTCGCAAAAAGAAAAAAATAAAACCAATCGTGCAATTTGGCTTGCACAACAACAACGTTTTAAAAGTCGTTTTTTTTTTTTCTTTTCATTATTATATGATGAATATACTAAATACGTTATGTTGTTTGCAGCAGACACAAACGATAATAAGAGAATATATACCTATATACCTTATCTTATAAAAAATTCTAAAGAAAAAAGAAGAAGAAGTAATAAACAAATTCATGTCAATGTGTGCAAATAGTCGAAAATTTCAGACAAAAAATATTTCGAAACTATACAAAAAGAAAGCAAAAATTCTTCAATTGCTTCTCTGAAATTTTCTGCATACCTACTGTTACGAAAATCCCAGATTTGATGATTCGGTTTGAGTTTGCTCGAAATTTAGTCGATTTTCTAAAAAACCAAATTATAAAAAATGGTAAAATCAAATACAATGTTATGGCGCTTCTCCTGATCCATACAGCTGGGGATTCCTAAAAAGATTAAAAACAATTCGCAGAACAATTCGTTACCCAACGGGATTAACATGCAAATGTCGCAGCGAAGTTAGATCCTCGTAATCTGTTTATAAAGGGGTATATAAGCAGAATATTTGCGGAAGACAAAGTCAGTCAAGTCAAGAGAGTTGAATCGTAACATTTGAATGGATAAAGATCAGAAAAATCGTTTCTCTAGAGAATTAGTAAATAGATGTCCTAAGGATTGTAAATACAATTTACAAACCTATAAAATCACAGTTCAGTGATACGAACTGAAGCTCAAAAAGCTGCGAATAAAAACGTTAAATCAGAAAAGGGGCGTTTTAGATTGCAATACGTATAAAACTCAAAACGTTTCATTCTTATAACCAATAAGCGATCTAAAGGATATTGAGTATAGTAATAGTAATGTCAAATATTTTCGTATATCGTACTTACTGGGAGATAAAAGTTGGGTATCACAAATATACCGTAAACATCGTGTTTGGATTTTTCGTCTACTCTTTTTTATCATTCGTATATACATGTAAACTTTAACTTTAGTACAACCTGTTTATTTAAAATGTGTATATGACAAGAACAACTGCCACATTGAACTTGAAGAGATATATATGTATTTGCAAAAATAAAAAAAAAAGTTAGAAAGCTTTTTAATCGTCTTGGGTAGAACCTTGCATACCCGTTATCTTGTAAATTTACCTTTGGTTTTAAAATTTGTCGTTTTTTTTTTTTTGAGTTTTTTGTCCTTTCGTCCTTTCGTGGACCTTAATGGTAGGTGAAAGTCAAGTAAGACCGTAGAGTTCTTGATTCAGCCAACTCATTTCTTTTCATCTTTTTTGTAGCTGTACGAGAAATAGCTTATCTCAAAATCTGTCTTACTGGGTTCGGAAGAATAATTCGTTTTTGGTACCCTCGAGTTAATGTTCTTAAGACAATTTTTTGCGTTGATTGCGCCTCAAATTAATATTGAAACAAACTCAATTTTCCTAGATGCGCTGAAGCAAGAATTGATAAAATGCGGCTTCAATCCGCTTGATTAATACGCATGATGAAAACATCGAGAATATCAAAACAGAAAGAAATAAAAGTCGACATTTTGGCTCAACAGAAATGGGTTATTGGTTAACACCACTGTGAGTGTCTAATAAAGAGGCTTTTCGGAAACTTTTCTTGGATGAAAGGAGAGGTAGCGGAATAATAATATTTGGCGAAGTTATTAGGCTTATATTTAAGTATTTAAAAAAAAAAAAAAATTTCTGAAAAATATTAAAAATTGGAGTGTTCGGAGCCATTCTCGCGAGGAACTATCAATTGAAGAGGCCTTACTGCGCGCAGTGCAACAGATCAATTTTCAATTAAAAAAAACAAGAAAAAAAAGTCTTTTAATCTAGATTTCGATACCGAGTTTATTAATGAAAAATTTCGAATTAATTTGTCGAAAATATATCACGTAACGCTCTGGAGAGCGTTGTTTTAAAGATGCTGTCAAAAATTCGTATACAAAAAAAAGAAAAGAAAACCGGGTTTCGAGAAATGGCATTTAAAATACTAAATACCCATAAGCTGCCGTAGGATTATGTTCGAAAAACACATTTTTTGACCACTTAACATTTAACCACATCTGAACTTTGTCACAATGAATGCTTTTGCATTCCGGATTACATGAAATGTATTTATATGATTTTTGCTCTCCCAATGCAGTGCAAATTGTAGGTTCAACTACATATGTTCAGCACGTCCGATCAATTCATCTCTTGTCATTTGAGTGTGTGATGCAAGTGTATTGATTGTGCTCAACGCTTTACATCATCACCATCTCCTATCAAACTTACTTCATTGTTACCATACAAATAAAGTATTGAATTAATATATATTATTGCAGGCATGATGTGATGAGTTTACCTACGCAACAAGAACGAGGTCTGTTCAATCCATTTCAAGTGTATACAATTTTTCGCAAGCAATATGAACTTGAAGCTAAGTGTAAATAGAAAGATGAATTAAGTAACAATATTAT